CTCCCAGCATCACGCATAATGTTAGAGGCAATGCTTCACATTTGAAAATATTGAAGCAAGCATGTAACGTGATGAAAAAAGCTCACTAATGATCATTGGTACATTTTTTAAAGTGCAAACGGCTGCTCTAGACAATACAATTCTCTCTTAAGTAAATATACCCTCAATGCGTCATGAATTGATTACACCATTGTACCTTGCACAACATTGGTTGAGGTCCTGTTGGCGGCCGTTATATCTCGAAATCGCGTGAACAAATGCCAGTTATGAACGCCTCAACATTTTTTTTTCTCGGGGTTGATCACCGCATGGCTTAAGATTGTCAGGATTATTTTGACGTGATCATTATTTTCATTTGATCATTTGACGTCAACATTGTTATGACGTGATCAATCCCAAGGGGATTCAAATGCTCTCCCCGATGTACTTTTTGCCATTTTCGCAGGCATGTAGCTCAGAAACTAGAGGGGCTTAGGCTTGAGAAGTGCAAGATCGTGAGCAAATCCGAAAGGTCTTCAAGATGGCTATTTCAGTTCAAAACCCCACATAAATGTGAAACACTCCCTTAAATCAGTCCCCGAGCTGTAGAGTATCCGGTGCTTTCTGCGTTTGTCATTCTAGCTACGCCAGTGATAACGTGAATAATGGCGGAAAAACGCCCCAAGTCCATTTTCAAGGTAGTGGTAACACTTCGTCACATGTGATTGCAGGAGATAGCGACACAATAAATGACGGTTTTCTTTGCCAGCGGCGATGTGTTCGTATTACCCTGACTGTTGGCGGGCTCCGAAATCACGTCATATTTATTACCATCTTATTAGTGCCTCATCGAGTCGGGAGAGTCATTCCTGACGTATTGCAATGGATGTGTGATACTTCACTGAGTTGATGTTGGTGCATACCTTCCGGCCAGATTCGGTTGTGAGCCCCTCGTTCCTGGGCTATAAATAGATGCCATGGTGCAGCTGCAGGTCGACTGGTCGACCAAACTCTCTCGCCATCACTGCAGTTAGCAGCGTCCAACATATCCGCAGCAAGAAAAGCTTCCCAGAACAAAACATAGGCGTTTATTACAGCCGTGGCGTCTTTTGGGCGCCTTAGGGCGAATATCGGTCTGGTGCCTTCCGGGTCCTCGTGGTCCTCTGCAGTCCGATGGGTGCTGGGGGCGTCACTTGTACTTCAAATACTTTCAGAGCGTACACAGACTGCCGGCCAGCCTCCGTATCTTCATGACGCATGGCAAGCGAACGAGCGACGCACAAAGTTGACATACAATTTGGTGACAGACCAGCGCGTCACAAATAACCTCATGCATTACCCAAGGGCAGGCAACGATCTATTCAAACGTGACTAGCAACTACGAGCTCGTCTGTTCGCCACGTAAAAGGCCATCCCTAAATATTCATCTGACTCCTTGAGCAGCTGACAACATAAACCAACGTTCCCCGACATTCATGTGCCGATTTCTCTTCCCGGCGTCCTAAGTTTATTTTGAAACTCTGCCGGGATCGTGTGCTTTTATCTCTGGTTAAATGCTAAATCAGTGTATACATACAGCAGGAAGAATTGTATGTGAAGCTGCGTAGCTTGCAAATAGGGTATGAGCTGCAGAAGATTCGATTGGTATCCTGTCATTCATTTCACAGACATGTTTTGGAATATCGATGCACGACCATGTTTTCAATTCAATCCAGCCCTTGGGTGGTGTTTCCTGTTTAAATACATCCTGCTAGCTGCATCCATGAGGTGTGCGCTCACGCCATGGAGTTTTGGTCTGTGACCTGTGAACTCTGTGGTCTGTGATCGACTTGAGAAATGGCATGCAAAATCCAGGACTGCAGTTTTGCAAGATCTGCTTCAGATGGATTGAGCAGGGAGAAATAGCTAACCTTGTTTTGCTACTGGGGACTGAAGCTGGAGCTTCTTAATTGGATAGGATACCACATCCACAGCAGAATCTGCCTTTAATGTGGGGCTATAACATAATGGTTATTGCTCCTGTGTTGGGATTCCATCATCTTAGAATGCACAGTTAAGCCATTGTGCCTAACTTAAGTTATACAGTTTTTGAGCTACGACAGTCTACTCTTGAAGCCACAGCATGCCACGGATTATCTGTTGAGGAAATGACATACGTTCCATAAGTGGAAAACTCTGTATTGAAACACATATTCCCCATTTTGGATGAAGAGTGGCCGCGAGTACCCGCAACGTTGCCAACAATGATCGTTCGGTCGCGCGTTGCGGGCTTGCGGGCTCAAAAGTGGCTGCTCTATCTGATGCGCCAAACATGGTATCAGTTCTGCGTGGATAGCGGGCACGATGCATATATAGATACAGATGTAGATATATATATATATATATATATATATATATATATATATGTGTGTGTGTATGTATGTATACTGTGATATCCAAGCCACGTTTAAACGCCGCAGAGTTAGATAAATGAGGTCCCAGGAGTGGGTAAATACACCAATCTGGGCAAGAGACCTACAAATACTCTCGGCTCTTGACGCCATACCCATACCCAACATGCGTGTTCCCCTACCAACTTAAAACCCTCCATTAGCCGCCGATTGGCGCATGAAGTCGCCTAAAAAATTCAAGAGTTAAAGAGGTAAACACTGTTATTCGCAATGCAACAGTTTGCTGAATATAAAACGATTTTGTTCACTTTTCCATTTTCCCGTCCCAAAGGTTTTCATGTTGGAAAATGAAAACAAAGAGTAAAGCTGATCGTTATTACGATGGCGACAAATGCACTCCAACGACACGTTGCTTGAGGGTCATGGTGTTCAAATGCTCCTTTCAGGGTTGCACCACCACCGTCTATGGTGCGGTTTTTAAGCGCAGCCAAACGTTCTCCGAAGTGATGCGTTACGTAGGCTGGCAAAAGCGAGTGCGGCATGAGCTGGATTCGTTTAACCCAGGCGAGGGCGAACAGTTGACACTCTGCTGCTGCGTTCATCCTCCTGTGGCTTGACTGGCGGGTTGTGACATGAGAAAATCTTATCTTCTCATGTCACTATGAAAGTATATTATCAAGTTTGACAACGTCAGGGATGGGTTCCGCGCACTGTTTGTCACATTGTGTCACTGACAGGGGGCACTACAATTGCCCCCCGGCAAATGGCAAAAGGGTTTTCCCCTTGGTGCTCTGGTGGCGCTGCCCCTGAGCGTCTCCGCAGGCTGGCAGGCTCAGATCTCAAGAAGAACTGAATCCTTTTTATATGACCTATAACGTTCAGCCAATTCCAAGAACAAGAAGTTCAGTGCATCTCTTCAAGAATCGCGAGGATCTCTGCATCATCGGCCATGCAGGTTCTACGCGATCTGAAATTAAAATTCCCCAATTCCCTTCACTAAGGAGACCTCTTACCTTTTACCGGGCAATGGGCCCCGTAAGAAGACTATGGGTTAGATCATCGTCTCCAATCAAGGGTTGAAAGCCCATTCTGTCCCAGCGCGGGTTGCCTGGATCCGGAGGCTCTCAGAGGGATAAATAATGCATTGGTCGCTTCGCTGACGCCGAGGCCCTCTGACCAGGACCTTTGGCCCAGATCGACGAGGGAGCCCTCACTGACGCAACAAGATTCCTTATCGGCGCGGGCGGTCCAATAATTGGCATAGATAATCCAGCTCGGCTTAACGAGCGGCTCCGTACCGGGGCCCTGACTACCACAGAACCTTTTCACTGTCTCATGTGGGCTGTCATCATAACTTCTCATATCCCCTTTCATTGACAGAGGACCCTCTTCCAACGCAAGAGGCTCTTTGACATTTGGGTTCCGTTCTTGTGTTTTGGTTCATAATTTTCCCCTTGCTGACCCTGCGGCCTCCATTGTTGCAGAAGCCCTGACCAATGCAAACAGCGGGCCCTGTCATTTTCCCTGTTTGGAAAACGGGCCCCAAAGGCTCAGACCGATACGGATTCGACTGTTCAGTGTTGATGGTCTCTGGCCAAAATAGAGACCGGCATTGTCACAGGTAGTCCTCAATTGGTGTAAGAGGCCATCTGACTGACATCTGAGGTCACGGCTCTATGGGCCAAGTCCTTAATATGATCTACAGTCAGCCCTTCGAACTCTTCGGGCCCTTCAACCACTGAAACGGGTCCTTGACCTTGAATTTAGCCCATGTTAGCAGCTGACCGACACGGGGCCCCCTCATTGTTTCATAAGCCCGACGAATGCAAATCGGTGGCCCTGACCTTGTTCCTGCTTGGAAAATAGGCCCCCATGGCTCAGACTAACACGGAGCCAATGGTTCGGCAGTGGTGGCGCGTTATCGACACAGAGGGCCTCATTGACTCAGGCGCCCCAAATCGGTGTAAAGAACCCTCTGACCGGCATTAGAGAACTCGTTCCAGCGGGCCGGAGACACTTGATACGGCCTGCGGCCAGCCCTTCAAATCCCTCTGGCCCGCAAATCGGGCTTTAATCTTCGGCACCAAGTGACTCTTTGGGCTCCTCGGCACTTAAAGCGGTACGTGCCTCAGAACCCTCTGCCTGCGCCACTGACCGCCGATATTAAGGCAAAATGCTGTGTACAAGCGAGTTTCTAAAGCTCATTCGATTATTCTGTTCTTGGTTTGGGTGAAGACGTTAGGTTCAAAGTTCTCCGATTCCGTCCACGCAAGGACGCTCATGGGTCTAATATCTTATCAATCGGGTTCATTTTAGAAGTTCGAGAGAAAGGGGAGCATAAAGACTCCTATCCGGGGGAGGGGGGGGGGTAACACAATTAAAGGAATCAGTTTCCACTTTAAACGAGGAATGAGTTAATCTTATGAAGTCATGTCACGGGCAATCATGGCCTGCTGAGTCCAAACTGCTCCATCAGGGAGACCGGCGACGAAGGCTTAAAAAGCATATCTTCGGGCGTCTACACCACCCAATTTGTCACCGTGTAAATTTAGTGCATGACCGCCTGTTCCACAAATGACGCATTCGGTCGCCCAAAGTGTAATGTGTGAGCGCGCTCCGCTGCTTCAACAGCTGATCCGCGCGCTGGCGACCCTGCTGGGGGACATGCAGCTACTGGACGCCGCCCTGGAGAGCCGCAGTCGGGACTGTCGAGTGGGCTGGATCTGTGTGGACGGCCTCGTGTCCACACTGCGTGGTATTGCTCAGGTAAGTCTCATTCCTCGGCATATGCGGCATGGCGTTGCGGAGATGATGTGGCCACTATGTTTGATCTCATTCTGGGTGAGTTGTTAAATCACAACCTCACGAGTCACCAGTCACGAGTTACGAATCAGTTCTGATTAAGGAATTTAGCGACACCTTTGGGAACAGCTCATTTGGCTGAGCCAGTGCTGTTCGGTTGCTGGTTAAATACAACCGAAAATTAAAAATAAATTTAAAATCCCCAAGGTTAAAAATCCCCAAGGTATTCCAGGCTAACTTCCTAACGGCGCGGCGTAGCTGCTCCAAACTTTGCATACCGGTATGCAATTAAATAGCGAATCGTTTGGTATAAAAGACCAAGATGTATCTGGTAAGGTTAGTGGCCTATAGAAGGCCCAAGTTAGGCCATAAACGTCTACAAAGGCAATTTCTTAGGAATCGATGAATCTAATGCGACAATCAAGTGTTGGACGAAGCTTTACGTCTTTTGGTTAAGGTTCGGGGTTAAGAATCCATATGTAAAATAACATTCCAGTGAGAATAGAATGCGGCCTCGAATTGCAACGTGGCGTTGAGTGAGTCTTCACGTTAACAAGAAATGATGCAAGCAGAGCGGTCGAAATTAGCTGTTGTTCAAACGAATCCCTTGTAAATAACCAGTGCTTAACATACCTGCAAACTAAAGCATGTCGATGCGCATCCGTTGCATCTTGGCGCAGATCAGTGCATCTTTTCATTGCAATGCCAAGGTAATGATGCGGTGGTGAAACAGTGCATGGTTTCATTCACATTCTGGTAGCGTGTTTTGACTAGTTCCGTTATAGGTTTTGAGAGCTGTGGAAATACCACACATTCTATTTTGAATTCAAAATGCTATTTTTTGTTATGGAAAGTGTTCTCAACTTTAATGTATTTGATCTAAGCAAGAAGTAAATATCCCATTCCCTGTATTTTGTACTTACAAGTGTGTTAACAGACTCCATGAGTCCCTTGGGCGCAGGCCAGCTAGGTGGAAGGATATCAATCAGCGGCATTGTAAAGTCATGTCGGCGTGATGATTGCGTTTACCGGGCAAAGGCTGTTTTGTCTACTTTATTTTTTAGATAAGAATGTAGTACCTAATTGGGGAACAAAAACGATTAAAACGACTAACAATGTAGTGATTATGTTTATTCTTCGAAACAAGCGTTGGAGGCTCCAAAACTATAGCATAAATCCGCCGCTTTCAGCACGTTTTGGCCTCTGGAAGGATCCCAGCGTGAGTCGGCGAAGTGGTGCCGAAGTGAAGACCAGTCATATGCGGTTCTTAAACTGAAAACGCGCCCATGTGTCGAACCACACGACGTAAGTGCGTTTCTGAGACTTGAAAAGTCCTGAAGGCTTTAAGTTTAACCTACGGCTTTTCGGATTTACGTGGATTCATATTTCTCCACTTATAACGTTGAATTATTGCAAACAATGGGCATTCGCAACAATGGTCAATATCTCAACATCGTCCTGCCCCGAACGAAAAGGCAACATATGTGAAGAACGCCTTGACTGACAAATGGTATGGTTCAGATCTGTGGATACTAAACTGGTTGGTGGCTAGAAAACAAGACGCTCAGCAGTGGCTCAAACAACTTTCCACGTGCCACAAAGTTGGACGCCTTTAGCAGAGTACAGATCCAGACGTTATCACTCAAAGAAAAACTAGTCTGTCTAAACCAGGTGATTTACGTAGCGTCAACACCGATCGTCAGCACCTCGGGGTCGTCAGGGCTGCCAGCAGGGGTGTGGTTTCCCGTTCAGCTAAGGAGCTCCAGCCCACCCCCTCCCCCACCTCCCGGTCTTTGGGAGGAAAGTGGGCTAAAACTGGGAGAAACCCGTTTTGTGCGTATTTTGGGAATGGGTTTTGCCATTTTTCCTGTTCCCCCTCTCCTCACACACATCCAGCTTAATTGGCAAAAATACACTCCTAAATGAAGGGCTCCGGAGATGGACCGGCGGCGTACGATAAAGCCACTCACCGTTAAAAAGCCTGGAAGACTAGGCGACTAAGGGCCATACGAAACATGAAAATGGGAGTGGTTTTAAAAAGGGCAAAGAGTCATAGCAGTAGCCTTAGAGACCATGATGGCGAATTAAAAAACAATAGGACCTTCAAGATGTTTCGGAAGATAATGAGTCGATCGAGACAAGAATTCTCCACTGAGCCCAGGCTGGGATCTAGCGCTGCGTCACTCCCTAAACAGCCACAAGCGTTCTCTACTGTGCTCAGGCTGTGACCCAGCGCTGCGTCACTCCCTGAACAGCTACAGGAGTTCTCCACTAAGCCCAGGCTGTGACCTAGCGCTGCGTCACTCCCTGAACAGCTACAGGAGTTCTCCACTGAGCCCAGGCTGTGACCTAGCGCTGCGTCACTCCCTGAACAGCTACAGGAGTTCTCCACTGAGCCCAGGCTGTGACCTAGCGCTGCGTCACTCCCTGAACAGCTACAGGAGTTCTCCACTGAGCCCAGGCTGTGACCCAGCGCTGCGTCACTCCCTGAACAGCTACAGGAGTTCTCCACTGAGCCCAGGCTGTGACCCAGCGCTGCGTCACTCCCTGAACAGCTACAGGAGTTCTCCACTGAGCCCAGGCTGTGACCTAGCGCTGCGTCACTCCCTGAACAGCTACAGGAGTTCTCCACTGAGCCCAGGCTGTGACCTAGCGCTGCGTCACTCCCTGAACAGCTACAGGAGTTCTCCACTGAGCCCAGGCTGTGACCTAGCGCTGCGCCACTCCCTGAACAGCTACAGGAGTTCTCCACCGAGCCCAGGCTGTGACCTAGCGCTGCGTCACTCCCTGAACAGCTACAGGAGTTCTCCACCGAGCCCAGGCTGTGACCTAGCGCTGCGTCACTCTCTGAATAGCTGTGAGTTTAAAGCGGTGATAAGCATTGGTGATATCGAGCTGTGACGACATAGAGCTGTGAACCAGGGTGAGGGTTAATACAAAGAGCTGTGAAGTCAGATGACATTCTGTGATCATTTGTGCGACATGGACGTGTCAAAAGCATTCACGCATACTTCCTGTGCGGCACGCTGCAAAAGTGAAAAAGGGTGGTTTAGCCTGGCAGGAATGGTAAAACTTGCCGACTTGGTTGATAGGGTCGGCGACAAAAATGCCTATTTTCACACGATGCTTGGTGCTTTTGATCAAAGGTTTTGGTGACGGGCACAACAAATTATCAGAACGCGCACTCCACAAGATTGCATGGAGCTTCAACGGTAGTCACTTTCATCCTACAACACCAGCGAGCCTTTCCGTAGAGACCCTTTACCCTATGCGCTATGCCACCATGTCACTATGCCACTATGCCACCATGGTATCTTTGTAAGGCTGCATCCCAACCCGGCGATGAAAATATGCTATGCTTTTCAGTTGGTCGCTCACTTCGATGACAGGCCGGCGAACTATCAGTGTGTTTCTCATGGCCTGATCGGTCAGCCGGTTCGTTGGTTTTACCAGCCACTTCTCACTGTCCCAAACTAGACAGCAGAACATGCTGAGGAGGATTTAGATGTGACGATTCATCTGGCCGCAAGGGCATGGTTCAATCCTTGCGATGCAACCGAGATATGTGAAGTTGGCGATGACTCAATGCACTGAGGCTTTGCGAGTGGCATTTGCATTGTAGTTTCATGGCTACCTATCTGGGTTTAATTTGTGGGCCTTGTTGACCTCATTGTTTGATGGCTCAGTAAAAGTCAGCGAGATGATCCAATCAAGGTAGAAATTAGCCTGTGATTACTCTGCTTAGACTGCTTTTTCAAGATACAGAAAAGCAACAGAAACGGCTATCGATTAACCATAGCAGACGCAAGTACCGAATCTTCTTCCGTTGGGAGGGAACCGCTGTTTTGGTGCTTGGGGCTGGTGGCACTCCTCAGGGAAAGGAATGACTGGAGCTGAGAATGCTTTTAAATGTCAATTGGTGCCATTGTTGATTTTTCCTGATTGGTTACCGTGGTTACCAGTGAAATAGATCTTCAAGTCGCTGCTTGTACCTTGTTCCTACTCAATTCAGGCCAGTTCAGGCCTCCAGTCCTCCCAAACTTACGAAGAAAGATGCTAACTCTGAGGAGACAGGCATATTTTGGGGGAAAATGGCATATTTTGTCATCGCTCAGTCCCGCTCACCCTTTTTTGGGAACTATACCTTTGCTTGAAATGCGGTCATTTCATTGGTGTTTTATAAGCATTGAAATGATAATTATTCCCAGTTAAACCTTTTCCCGATATTGGTCCCGGCTGCTGGAAACTGATATGACTGTCACGATGTAGGTTATGACGATGCAGTAGTGGGTAAAGGGTCAGTTGGTGTGGGAAATATGGGCAGTGAGGGGGGGGGGGCTAAATGTTCCATTGCCCTTTTCCCCTTAGCCAAAAGGCTTACTTTAAGTAAGAGGTGATTTTGCGGAATTGCTGTGCTTTTTTCATAGTTAAGTAAAGAATACAGAATATATAAAAAATCATAACAAATGATATATATATATATATATATATATATATATATTATATAATTATAATAAATACATAATAAAGAATAAAGAAAAACAACCATAGTTAAATTTAGTCATCTCCAAAGCCCTCCGGACAATTCGGACCTTCTTAAATGCCCAGGGCACTTTTCACCACTGAGGGGGGGGGGGCCTTCCACCGCCCAAGGGCCCTTTTTCATTTCATTCATTTCAAACATTTCTCCAGCCACTGACATTTCCTTCTGGCTGCCCAGGTCCCCACTGAACTAGCCGTCAAAACCATCTAGCCACGACAGATCGTGGCTAGATACTGTGGGTTTAGGGATATGTGGGGGTGGAGGGTATGTGGGATGTTGGTTGGGGGGGGGGGGGGGGAGGCGTCCATCGTTCCTTGACTCTGTAAGACGCAAAACCTGGGTTTTGTGGTGTACGCAGGGCTGTTTTTGCTGCGTGCAGCGTGAAGAAAAATGTCCGTGCTGAATTCGTAGAACCCATCCTCTGCCTACCACTGGGCTTCATCTGGCTACCCGGAGGCCCCTGTTACGGGTAAGTGGGCATCAACTAGCCAACGTGCGCACTCGGGCCGTTTATGATGTAGTAGCTACCGAGGGCCTGTCTGCCATCTAAGAGCCCCTTCAGTACACAAAATAACCGTGACACTATCCAGGCCCTCTTGAACCGCTTTAGTGTATTGGTTTAGATGCGCACTAGGGAACCAGAGGTGGAACGCTCGATGCTCCTCGGCACCCGCCCGTTCTGCCAGGGTGACACCATACAGCCTCAGAGGCTCCGTGCGACGTAAAGCTTCAATGGCAACATGCGTCCACAGGCCACACTGACCTCTCGACCTTCTGTGTATTCAGAGCCCCTCTGGTCGCTCACGAGCCGTTTTACCTGATCCGTGCCCTTCCGGTCGCTGAGGACCCCTGGCTACTGAGGAGCCTCTTGTGGATAGGGTCCTTCTCTGACTGGTCGCGCAGCCCCCCCCCCCCCTCCCTGGTCACGACGGGAACTTTTGATCGTTTGTGAGCCTTTCTGGTCATCAAAGTGTTCGTTTGGTTGCTGACGGTGCAGTGGCCCCCCAGCAAGTCATTTGGTCGCCAAAACACATATCTATAACTAAACGACCCTTTTGGATACATGTTTCTTCGGGGGGGGGGGGGGGCGGCGGCGATAAGTGCTCAGGGCTTGTCAGGCCACTAGCCACAGACCTTCGGACCACTGAAGAGCCCTTTGACTACTGACATGATATCTAAGCTCTCAGGGCGCACGGTCCGCCCAGGACCTTATTAGGAGTTCAGAGCCCGTTGCCATATATCAAGCTTAAACTTGTGGCCACGGCAAGCTCCAATGGTGGACTGCTTTTGTGATTGGATTTTCCCGTGATCTAGGGCAGTGTTTCTCCAGCAGCAGCTATCCTGACATTAGTCAAATGACAATGTATGAATGAACGGTCCGGTTGTGTGCATGATATTGCAAGTTGTGGTGATGGAAGGGGCTTTCGGTGATGCGACGATTCCCGATGGCGCTACTGAGCATGGAGGTCATTGCCATTTCATTGCATGTGGTATCGCGTTACGCTGCTTGCGATAATTTTGTCCCCAGAAATTTGATCGGCGGACAAAAATACTTTTACCACCCCTGAACAATGGCTTGAACTGTTCGTCACTTGAAAGCTGTTTGTTGCTCCAAGAGAGTGCCGGTGCATTAGTTTAGATTTTGAGCCAGACGCTCAACATTAGTCCGCAAAAGAAGCCATTGATCAGCAAAGGCGCCTCTGCTACTGCTGCTGAAAGCCTCACCTTTAAAAGCGATCGCCAAGCGAAAAAGTAAAAATATTTGTTATCTATCACCGCCGTCAAACGAATACATTCTTTCAATTCAGGTAAAGGCTTAATTTGTCGCATTCACGTGCCATGCAGACACATGAAGAATTAAGAACGCTGTCACTTTCATGTTCCATTCGGAAGGATGATTGTCCAAAGCCTCTTTGCAAAAGCGCTTGGGTCTTTTACATGACTATGTCGCGATGTTGCTTGCGACAGTCGTTGCTGATCTCTGTAGCGACAGAATGGGAAGGGGGAGGGGGGGGGGGCACCAAGGCCAAATCGTCGCCGACTTACCTATGATAATTATTTTTCTCAGACCTGTGCTGTGTCATACGTGATTATGTGCAGCCCTTCTCTACATGGCTTTAATCCACAGATGCGATTGAATTCCGACGTCAATTTAAGACACTTTCACGGTCGCATCCATCAGAGCATGTCAACAAAAATGCCACTCATCCACAAATGTTGCACCATGCAGCATTACACGCTGAAAAATAGGTGTTTGCCAACTCGTAGCATTTCGGTTTTTGTACCCAGGCAAATACTTCAAATGAAGTGGATGCGCAATGTCACGTTTCTCTGGCTAGCACTTGTTCTTGCAAGACCGTTTTTGGCATTCATTTCGCAACAAGCGTACTTGATGCATACATGACTGGCTAATTAGACCTATCAATATTGAAGCGCGTAGTAATAACTGAATGCCTATGGTCTTGTGATATTTTTGTCACGACGCATACCGAATTGTGACTTTCGTTGCGACAAGGCTGAACATGTTGTTATAACACATGTCTAACTTGCGAACGCGATGAAAAAAGCCGAATCCCGGCTGCACACATGATGCGATTCGCCTATCCTCCCCACACTCGAGGAATCAGTGCTTATCCATTCGTCGCCACCAACGGGCCGGAACGCCCGCCCCGATCCGTGCTGCGCGTCGGGTACGTTTCATCTCCTCCGCAGGGGTGCTTTCAACTGACCGAGCGACTGAAAACGCCAGACTCCGACAGCCAACACTTTGCAGCTCGAGCGACTAAAAGGACTCAGTTGACAGCGAATCGGTGCCCCATTTCAGAAATCGGTGGCTTTTGCACGCCAAACCAAATCAGCCAATGTGGAAACACTGCTAACATGCACATCGGCATCGGTTTGGATAATATTTTAAAATTGGTGACATCTGGTATCAGCAATACAGATACAATACCACCGCCGTTCGAGGATCCATGAATCTGACCACACGATTTGCGATGCATTCTCACTGAGTCGGGCGACCTTGCCATATTACGCAGGCACGATGAGCTTAGCAAGGTCACATTCCTGACGCCACTCTGACACCACACCAGTGGCTCTGCAGACTGTGCTGCCAGCAACGTGCAACAAATTTCTGCTTGCACGAACGCAATAAACACTGGCCGCGCGCTACCAGATGTGCGGACAGGCAGGCGCACGCCGCGGGGGACATCTGAAGGACCACGCCTCCTCTTGGAGCTTCGCCAGCACCGCAGCCACTGTCACGGCCGCTCTGGGGGCTCCGGTAGCACCGGAGCCACTGTCACGGCCGCTCTGGGGGTTCCGGTAGCACCGCAGCCACTGTCACGGCCGCTCTGGGGGCTCCGGTAGCACCGCACCCACTGTCACGGCCGCTCTGGGGGCTCCGGTAGCACCGGAGCCACTGTCATGGCCGCTCGGGGGACTCCGGTAGCACCGCAGCCACTGTCACGGCCGCCCTAGGGGCTCCGGTAGCACCGCAGCCACTGTCACGGCCGCTCTGGGGACTCCGGTAGCACCGCAGCCACTGTCACGGCCGCTCTGGGGGCTCCGGTAGCACCGCGGCCACTGCCACGACAGCACTTCTAACGAAATTACTGTAAACGAACAAACTTATGTGACGTGACTTCTAACGCAAATAGTTCTCTGCAACATTTTTCTAGGCGACAGATATTTAACACGACAACTTATATGCACCATTACTTCTCATACGCATAAACTTCTACTTCTAGCGCTTCTAACGCATAAACTTTTACCCTAGGAGACGTAAAGTGCAAATACTTCTATACGACATCACTTCAAATATGAGAACTCCCAGCGCATAAACATTTACGCGACAGAACCTCTAACACATAAACCTTACGCGATAGAACTTCTAACGAAATAAAACTTCTAACGCGACGAAACTTTTAACGTTAAGAGCCTTAATGGTCTCCCACTCGTCGGCACGGGCCCTGTGTTCCGAAGTCCAAACCATGAGCTTTCTTATCACAAGAGCCCGCATATAGCTATTGATATACCTTAAAAAAAGCCAAGACTGCTCTAGACATCACAGTTTCTCTCTTTAGGAAATGTGCTCCTCGATACGCCATTGTTTGATTACGTCATCGTACACTGCACAACATTGATTGAAGGCCAATCGACGGCCGTCATATCTGGAAATCGTGCTTACGAACGCCACATACGAACGATTTGGCCTTTTTTTCTCGGCCTTGATCACCATACGGCTCATGAAATGGCAGAATTTTAATGGGCTTGTCATGACGTCATGAATGCCGGGGCGACCTTGAAATACCGTCCCCGTAATAGTCTCCCCATTTTTGCGAACACGTAGCTCAGGATCAAGAGGGGTTAGGTCTCAAGGAAGGCAGGTCTGTGAACTGCACCGAAAAATCTTCAAGATGGTCATTTCAGTTCAGAACCCCATATAAATGTGAAATACTTCCTGTACACTTTTTCAGGTAAAGAGATCTGCTGGAGTGGTACGCTGAACCGAAAGCTTTGTAAAAAAAAGTTTGATCTTTTCATCACACCATGTTCCTAAATTGTTCTGCGACGGGCCAGGGGTTTTCTTGGTTTCGTCAGCAAGTCGCTTGCATGTCAGGGCCCCAGCATACAACGGTAGTAAAGAGTATAACGGCCTCTTCAGGTTTTGTAAAGCCTGGCATTTGCCCCCGATTCCAAAGAAAACTTTATCGTTATGTTAAAACCTCTCATGGTGCCGAACGAACAAATAGTTCACGAGTTCCCTCTGCCGTCCCACGTCAGGATTTGCTTATGAGCACCGTGTCTTGCTTCATTCAATTTCAGATGAAATCTGACCTTAAACCTCCTTCCGGTATTCGCACCGCGGTGCAGTTGATGTGCCAGATCTCTGCTCCAGACCCCATGCATGCTGGTAACGAACCAGGCTACACGCCGTGACCGTTGAAGGTTGCGACATAACGTTCGCAAACGACTCTTGCAGATCCTGATTAGGTGCGCGCTGATATCTGTGCTGCGAGCAAGATCATCCAGCATGCGCCCGGGTAACCTCCCATACGTTGGATGATTTTGTGCGGGAGGAACGTTGCCAACTATTGCATTGTACTGTGGGAATTGGCTTGCCATTAAGTGGTTTATAACAAGCGAGTGGTTTATAGTAAACCTGATTGAAAACAGGCAACGTAATATTTGACCTTTCGTTTGTCTGCGTACCGCAGGTGATTTTTGTGAACAACCCGCTATCTGGAGCACTGATCCTGGCTGGACTGATGTGCAGCAACATCTTCACCGGCCTGGCTGCGATGGTGTCGGTCATCATCGCTCTGCTTGTCTCCAAGGTACACGTCGAGAGAGAGAGAGAGAGAGAGAGAGAGAGAGAGAGAGAGAGAGAGAGAGAGAGAGTGAGAGTGAGAGTGAGAGTGAGGAGAGGAGAGTGAGGTGATGTGAGGTGAGAGTGAGTGAGTGTTGAGAGTGAGAGTGTGTTGGAGTGAGGAGTGTGGTGTGTGATGGGTGGTGTGTTGTGTGGGTGTGTGAGGTGGGGGGAGTTGTGGTGTGAGGTGTGGGTGTGAGTGTGGTGCGTGTGTGAGTGTGTGAGTGTGGAGTTTGTGGTGAGTGTGTGTGGTGGTGAGTGTGTGAGTGTTGTGAGTGTGTGAGTGTGTGAGTGGTGAGTGTGGAGTGTGTGAGGGTGGTGTGTGAGTGTGTGAGGTGTGTGTGTTGAGTGGTGTGAGTGTGTGTGTGTGAGTGTGTGAGTGTGTGAGTGTGTGAGTGTGTGAGTGTGTGAGTGTGGGTGTGTGTGTGTGGTGTGTGTGAGAGAGAGAGAGTGGAGTGAGAGTGATGAGTGAGAGTGAAGTGAGTGTGTGAGTGTGTGAGTGTGTGAGTGTGTGAGTGTGTGAGTGTGTGAGTGTGTGAGTGTGTGAGTGTGTGTGTGTGTGTGTGTGTGTGTGTGTGAGTGAAAAATAGGGGAACACGGAGATAGCGCACGATTAAATATAATTTTGAGATGCACATTTGTTAAGTGTCCCAATGGCTGTCTCGTCTAGAGTGACAGGCTGGAGAGATCTGAATGTGTTCCTGTGAGGTATTGCCGCAGTTGGCTCGTAAGCCGGGTGTGGTTTTGAACTTCGGGAGCTGCACGTCTACCGTGCCACAACATGCGCGTGTATCCCTCATTATTAAAAAAGCCGCATCCGACTTACACGCTACTATTTTTGCTATCTGACTTACGCGTTCTTAGACTGTATTACGTCAGGCGTATTTAGACAACTGTGTTGGATCAAAATGCCTCTAGAAAGTATGGTTTTACACCCCCCCCCCCCTCAACCCCGTTTTCCCATATTTTTAAAGGTTTCTTCATCATGCATGAAGTTTCCATCGAGAGAAATCGCACGACGTTAAGTTTTTCACAATCGGCCGTTTCGCTCCATAGATGTTACGGTGGGGCGAAATTCGCGAATCTCCGCTCAGGAATACAGTTAGCCGACAACAAAGCAGTCGGGAAAATCGTCAACCACCTATTAAAAATTGGAAACAGCCAGAGCCAGCGCCGAGACAAAGCATCCCTCCGGCGCAAGCGTCAAGTTCGTCGACGGGCTCATGACCAAAGTTTTCCCCGACTCGACTGAGCGGCGCCAAGACCGAACCTGGCCCAGCGAGCAGCCGATTCTGCAGCCAAAGACATTGTCATTGATGGTACCAAGCCCAAACTTCTGCAGAAGAGTGTGGGGAGGCAATGAATTGCAAGTCGATAGAAACTATTTATCCCTTCTCCATCTACGCATCACCCTTCTGTATCACACTTGAGATGCCCGTTATTATGCCGGAGTTTTGTACTTTCGCAAGCAGTTGTCAAAAGGTTCACCGAGAACAGCATCTGGGAATCGGACCCCGACCCGCAAGGTCCGGAAAGTGGCGGCCAAGAACCGCGAGAGCTTTGTATTCCGTGTTCATCGCCGCGAAGCAGAGGAGCCGGCCCGCTGCTAGGAATTTTATGACGACACAGCGCCTCGGGCGCGTTTCGACCTCGTCATGAATTCCGTTGCAGATGCCTCCCGAACCAGACGTCGCACAGATATTCTGATAACAAATTTATGACCTATGCCATCAGGTCAATGAAATCAAGGAATACGGACAAAAAGTCAGTTGCCCTTCTTTTCCCGCATAAGGAAGAAAACGGGGGCCGTTTGTCGATAAAGAGTGTCATACTGGACGCGGCAGTTAATAAAAGACCGAATAGGAATTTCAATTGCTCACTCCATTAGCCCGACATCGACGGGGGGTTCAAATCCCCCTTGTTCAATGTTCGTGATAATTCAAAAACGCTTCAAGATATCGCTGCGAAATTTTCGGTACCTGTTAATTAATGCAATCTACGCCCTGCGCCGAAATCAAAACTATGAGACCATGATAGATCAAGCAGGAGTGACGTCAGAGTGGTGTCATGCTTGCCGATTTTTTTT